GAATTCTCATTGATTTGTCCATTGTCTCTTCTGCTCAGACTAAAATGTCAGCTTCATGATCTGTTGGGTCACTGTTGATGCCTGATATAGTAGGTGCTCAATAATATTCACTGAATGGACAAATGAATGAAAGACTTATCGAGAGTGCCTTGCCCTGATAATTTGAGGAAAGGAGGAAGAGACTTAGGTAGAGCCTCACCTGGATAGTCCTAGGACGGCTGGACTGCTCTGGTTTGGGGGTTGGGGGATCACCACAGAACTTCATGCTATTAGTGAGGTACCGCTGATGGTTATAAACCCCTCCCGCTGCCGAGCACCTTACATGCCTTGTCTCAGCAGCCTCTGAGGGAAGGCTGTTCTATCTCCTTCTATAGATGAGATCACTGGGCTCAGGGAAGTTAAGTCACAAGTCCAAGGCTATTAGCTAACAGTAACTAATATTGCTGAATGAGGTCTCAAGCCCAGAACTCCAACCCCAATGCCTGAGTTCCAGACTCATTCGTGACCACATGTGGGTGCCCCTCAGTGACACCTGCTTTAGAGAACAGGGATGAAAGTGGGGAGTTCTTGGGACCTTATTTATTCATTTACTAATGCACGGCCACTATTTTGGGAGCATTTTGTATGTGCCAGTTGCTGTGCCAAGTGCTTACATCCATTAATTCGCTTGAACTGAAGGGGTTCCTTGTCTCAGGACTCAAGAGGATGGAATTAGTGACTGAAATATGATGACAAGATGGGCTACTCATTCAAATATGCAGAACTAAAATGGAAAGTTGTGTGAGTATGTATAAGAGGGAGTGTGCAGAGAGAATGTTAGCCATCTGTGACACCAGGTGACCCCCGTGTAGGAAAGTACCAACCTGAGGGGAAAGCACAGGTGAGAGCAGTTATTTGGGTGGAAATGAAAGAAGGAAACTACAAAGGTGATTTTTTGATAGGTTATATGATACATTACAAAGACAGATCAGGGATATGTGAGATGTTTTTCAGATACAAATTGCAAATTGGTCACAAAGGTGATGTGGGACTCTTACTCTCTAAACATCTGCTAGTCGTCTGTTTTGCTAAGAGCTGAACATCTGATAAATTTTTGACTGGCCTCAGAGGTAATTTAATCTCTCAGAAGGTAGAGGAAGCGGGAAGCAGAACTGCTATTCCTGGACTTCATATTGACCAACATGAATAATAATTTGATGTGGAATGGACAGGAACATTGGAAAAAATGACCATGTTACGTGGAGTTCACTTTGTTGAGCACAGAAAGCTGAGCATTGACACATACACTAGGCATTAAGCAAAATGATTTTAATCCAACTTGATGCATTACAGGTAGGACCCATTGACAGAGGTCAGGAAGAATGGTAAGCTCATAAAATTCTAATGCAGACATAAAAATCTGAATTGTTCCCATAAAGAAGAAAAGGGAGAAGGGCTTTAAACAGCCTTCACAGGGCAAAAAGCCTGCATTTATTAAACTCAGATTTTAAAAAGAATACGTACAAACCAGGAAATATGGGTATATTATATAGGATAATTGAGAAAATACAAGTACATATACTGTGTTGAATGTTGGCCGCCAGCACAGCCTGCAAATATGACCTATTTTGGAAATAGGATCTTTGCAGATGTAATTGAGTGAAAGATGTTGAGAGAGATCATCTTGAATTTAGCGTGGACCTTAAATCCAATGACTGATTTCTTCAAAGAAAAAGAAGAGGGAGATGTGACACAGAGGCACGCAGAGGAGAAAGGACAAGTGAAGAAATGGGAATGAAAGGCAAGAAGCATCAAGAACTACTGGTGGCCACCAGAAGCTAGGAGAGAGGCGGGGGACAGCTTCTTCTTCAGAGCCTCCAGAAGGAACCAATCCTGCTGACACTTTAATTTTGGACCTCTGGCCTCTGGAATAAATCTGTTGTTTTAAGCCACCCAGTTTGTGGTATTTTGTTATAGCAGCTACAGGAAACTAATACAGTACTGTAAACCCCTAAGAAGATTAGGGTGGAGGTAGAAGCTGAGACTAATGTGAAACTCTTGGAGAATCCTAAATGAAGCAAAATTAAACAAATTTTGAAACAAAGCACAAACAAGGAAAAAGGTAAGCCTACTTGTTAGGAGGATGCTGTCATTTTCACAAGTGACCATAAGAAAGCAAATCTGCTCAGCAAACACAGAGGGAGCATTAGGTTGGGGTTCTGGTCCACACCCCAATGTAATGTTCACCTCCTCCTCAGTAGATGGTGGAAGGGGCTGGGGACCTGGGTACATGGGGTGCAGTGGGAAGCACTGGCTTTGTGGGCTACTTCACTTCCACTCTCTGACAGTGAGTGATGTTGGGAAAATTATTTTTAACTTAAGTCTTTTTTTTTTTTTTTAACCTAAACATTTAGATGAACATGCCGCTTAACAATGTCACCATTTTTCTGTTTGGGGCAGGGGGTTCTTTTTCATCTCTTAGAGACAGTAAAAATGGATGGCAATTTAAGATTTTCCCTTTTATTAATTTGCTTACTTAGCAAGCTTGTGAAGTCAATATACTGTGATTATTTTACAAGCCAGAAAAAGTGTTATTTCAAATATTTGATGAAATGGGTGTGTGCGACACAGCCCCCATTTTAGCTAGATCATATCTCAGTGATTCTACTTCTCTAGTTCACCGTGCCTTAAGGTAATTGAAGCTCCCTTTTCTTGAAGAGGCATAATTTCAGAGCAAGATGTGATGTCCAAATGAAGCAGGAAAAATGATCCTCAGACCACCACAATTCTTTTTGCATTTCTGAATGTGCTTACAGGTCCCCAGGGGATAAACCGTAGGTTTCCGGTATCGCCTTGAGTCATGGGCAGTCTTTCACTACCCCCAAAGAAACCACACTCAAGAAAAAATAATTGTCTAACTGGAAACTGTTTGACTCCTTCACATGTTGAGACAGTGACCTAGCAAAATGGAATTTTAGCTTCTAATTGTGGAAGATTTTTATTTGACATAGTTGAGGCCATTGATAGAGGAGGCAAGAACCATAGATTTTTCAGTGTCACTATTGTATTTGCATCTTTGTGGATTAATTTAAGAGGCTTTTGTAGGAGAGAGTGAGCCAGAGTAATTATTGTCAAGCTTGGACAGGAACAATAAAAGGACTCCATTTTCCAGGATTGTGAAGATAAAGTCTTTCTCAAAATTGCTTTGCGGTAAAAGGTTAAATTGGTCATTTTCACTCTCCCAGGCTATGATGTGGTTATTATTTGTTCACAGGAGTTAGAGGATTTACCCTTGAGATGAACGTCAGAATCCCAGTGGCCTATTGAATCGGAGTAAGTGATCTGAAAAAATAAGGTAGTCAGAGATAAGACAGTAAGACAAGCAGCCACATCTGCCCGCTGGGTCAGGAGCCATTTTGTGGGTTCTGCCGCAGACCTCTCCAGATGAACACCTTGGGGGCAGCCAGCTGGCAATGGCCAGACCGTGTGGAGGAGGGGTGGCGTGCCCAGAGTGAATTTCTCTGTCAGTGTACCTAATTTACATATACATTTCTTGCATTATTTGGCTCATTGGCTTACAATGAGGCTTGAGGACTGGAGTGACCCAATCTCGCCTCGTGTCCTCAGCTGTGTAGAATGGAGGAATCTTTGTAATAAGGATATCGCAGTGGGATTGCTCTGACTCAGAGCCCCACAGGAACACTGTTGAGGGCACAGGAACTCCAGGCCAGTGGAATAACTCAACTGAGGGCTTTGGGAATGCCTTTTACCATTTAGTCCCTTTCTGTCGACTTGTTTCACCTTCCAAACAGCCTTTTAAGGTGGACACTATGATCCCCATTTTACAAATGAGGAAAACACAGAGAGGAGGCTTTGTCCCTTACTAGTGGGGAGCTTCTAGGAAAGAGCCTAACCTCCTGGGACTCAGTTTCCACTTGTGTAGCACAGAGAGTAGCAAGGCAACCTGCCTTGGAGGGCTGTGGTAAATAAAAAAACGCACGGTGCCTGCACCACAGGAAGGACTCGGGTTTCTCCTGCAGCTCTTTCTCATTACGAACATACTCATCCTACTGGTGTTCTTACCCTCATCATCCTGGGACTGGACAATTATTTCTCCTCTTAGAACGGAACGTTGCTTCATGTGGCGTCATTTTGAAACAGGAGCTTCAGAGGTTAAAAAAAAAAGGGGGGGACAGTCTCAGAGCCCCCTCAGTGATCTGCCCTGCTTCCGCCAGTGGGCGAGAACTACTTGTTTATTCTCCCTCTGTGTCTGTGCCCTTAATCCGTATCTATGGACAGAAGACAAGAGCTTATCTTTGGGCTGCCAAGGGGAAGCTGTTTGTCTAGAATCTGGAGGAAAACCTTCCGTTTTCACTATCCACCCGTCATCCATCGATTCATCCGTCCATCCATCTTATCAGCAATCCATCCATTTTTGGAGTTTCTGCCATGTGCTGGTCAAAGGAATCCAGCAGAAGACCAAAGCCAGGCTGTCTCTTCCCTCATGGAGCCCACACTCTGCTGAACAAAAGAAGTAGATTTAATTACGTAATTCCAATTTACTTATTATTATTATTTTTTAGGCAAACTTCTAAGCCTGAGGTGGAGAAAGTTGGAACAAGGCTAGTTGGCTGAGGTAATTGCAGTGAGAGAAAACACATTGTTCCTGTTTTTAATGCTGAGTTCTGCCTCAGGAGGGGGGAAAGTGGAAAATAGCGCTAAGAAGGTCTCTCTCTGCTTTCTCGAGAACTATGGGCTATGCGAGATGGAAAGTTAAAAATAAAGGGATGTGCCTTTCAAGTCAGGAGCCATCAACGGAGGTGGCTGGACGGGCTCAGGCAGGATAGGGAAGCCTAATGTATGGGGTTCCCAAGAGCTGAACATTTCGGGAGCTGTCTGTTTCTTCACAGCTTCCTGCAAGATGGGCCTCGTGCTGATAACTGCCAGCTATGTGGGATGCCAGCCAGGTTTTCTCTCACGTTGGTTTGTAACAGTCCTCTTCTCTCTCTCTTTTGTTTCAGATCCAGCAATTGTCAATGGGGTTTATTGGTCCGAATCTCTAAACAAAGTTTTTGTAGATAACTTCGACCGTGACCCATCTCTCATTTGGCAATACTTTGGAAGTGCGAAGGGCTTTTTCAGGCAGTACCCAGGTGAGTATCCTGCATGAAGCACCATGATTCAGATTAATGATCTTGTAATATTTTCCTTTAGGGTTCAAGGTTAAAAATTTTCTCCCCTCCCTTAGGAGAAAATGAAAGTTTCTAAAAAGCAAAAAGGAATGGACAAACAAAATTAAACAGAAACAGACTTATAAACACGGACATCAAACTGATGGTTGTTCAAAGGGGAGGGGGTATGGGCAAAATAGGTGAAGGGGATTAAGAAGTACAGATTTCCAGTTATTTAATAAATAAGTCATGGGAATGTAATGTACAGCATTGGAAATATAGTCAGTAGTATCAACATAATTTTGTACAGCGACCCATGGGTACTACGTAATGTGGTGATCATTTGTGAGGTATTTAAATGTTGAATCACTATGTTGTACACCTGAAACAAATACAATATTGCCATGTCAACTATACTTCAATTAAAGAAAAAACTGTTAAATCTATTGTCAGGGTGCAGGACAGGAATGGCAATGTGGCATTTGCACGCGTGTGTGTGAGCGCCCACATACACATGGCATTTGAACCTGTATGTGGTTTCAGCATGTTTTTCAATAGAGTAATTCATAGAGTTGCCATCAAAAGTGGGGTCTTGGAGTGTGAAACGTACCATATTTTATCTTTCTGGACAAAAGTTTGCTTTTATTCCTATTACTGTTACTATTATTATAATCAGGGAGCGGAACAAGTCATAATTGGGCAGAGTTAAATTCTGACCAACAGGTATCAGAAAGGGAAAATTTGAACTTGGGTTTCCCCACTCCAGAGCTGAGTGCCCTTGGAAGAAGAAGTTGAAATGGCCAAAGCACCGCTGATGTCAGCAACCCATCCTTAAGGGCCACTAGCAGCATCTTCAAATGACTGTATTTGTCAGAGTTTGGCCATCATGCCTATGGAACAGGTGTTTCTTCTGGGGCCCTCCCAGGCCTCTACTTTGCAGTAGGAATTTAATTCTGGCTTGGTTTGAATTTTAATTAAAAAGGGAAGTTTTAATTTTGCTTACAAGTTGTGAAAACAGGACTTGAGGCTGCAATTGTGCCAATAACACAGCTGTAGAAATTAACAAGCTCACCCTAAAAAAAAAGGATAAAAGAAAAAAAACCACCTGCATAATCTTGGAACAATTAAGTGGAGTCTTTTATGTTTTAATTAAGTAAGGCTAGGCACCTGATGTCTTCCCACTTTGAGGCACCAGGACTGCCAGCTTCCGCACCGAGGAGCTGTTTGCCCTGTGCACAGCATCTGTCCCCTGAGACTCGCCTGCCCAGCCTGCTTTGCCAGATTATTCAACATTTCCCAAGAGCTGTGTTCAGCAGGACATGCATGGTTCCTTCTGGAGTTCACAGAAATTTAAGCAATAAGCATCTTATTAAAGATAATGTTATAATAAACAGCAGTCTATTAAAGTTCCAATGTCACCAAATTGCAATCTGCTTTGATCCACTCAACAGAGAGTAAATGTAACGCAGATGTCGCTGAAATTAGAGCATGGTGGGTGGTTGATCCACTGAGGAAGCCAAAAGAACATCTTACCATCTTACCATGTGGCACTTGGATGAATGTGGAGCAGATAAGAAACCACAGGTTATCTGTTGTCTCCACTAACAGGAAGTCCTAAAATAGTGGTCATGAGGAAATTTTAAAATGAAGGTGTACTAGTCATCGTGGGCTGCCATAGCAAAATCATAGACTGAGTGGTTTAAACAACAGACATTTATTTCTCAGAGTTTTGGAGGCTGGAAAGTCCAAGATCAGGGTGCCAGTAGATTTGATTTTTGGTGAGACCCATCTTTCTGGCTTGTTGATGGCCGCTGTCTCCCTGAGTGCTCACATGGTAGAGAGAGCAAGCTCTGATATTTCTTACTTTTCCTAGAAGGGCACAAATCCCATCATGGGGGCTTTACCCCATGGCCTCATTTAAACCTAATTAACTGCCAAGGACCACACTGCTTAATACCATAACATAGGGAGTTAGGACTTCAACATATGAGTGGGGAGGGGGCCACAAACACTCAGTTCCTAACAAAAGGGAACCCGCATAAAGGGTTTATATAATAGAGGAGATTATGTACAAAGCTTTCATCAGTCAGCTGACTTGGAAATGATTACAGTTTTTAATGACATTTGTGGCAGAATTTTGACTTTGTAAAATGTTTTCTATGTTAATATAGACATAAATCACAGTCTTCCATAGGGGTTTCACTGCCCTGGTAAATGTCATATGATCAGTCAGTGTTTAGTTCTGAACAGGACCACATCTCTTGTCTCCTGGACATGCATGACTACTGGAAAAGTGATCCATGGCCAGCCATCGTTTGCTAGGATGGGTTTCTTTTCAGATTGCCTCTTTCCATGTTTAGAGTGGCGTAATAGTATAAATCAGTGATAAGCATGCATGGTCCTAAGCAGAAGGATGCTTCTTTATTCTAACAAATGTCTATCTTGACTTCTTGCTTTGTTCTAAGCTCTGAGTGAGGCCCTGAGGATAAATGAACTAGACATAGACACTCTCTGCCCTGTGAAGCTCCTTTATTCATCAAGGAGTTTGGTGGCAAGTGACAGAAACCCAGTTACAACAACACCGGCCAGAAACACATCATTGCCTCATGTAACTTGAAATCCAGGGAGTGTGCTATTTTGAGGCACAGATGGATTCCAGGAGTCAGCAGTGTCATTTGGATTTTGAATTTCTCCTTTCATCTCTCATCTCCACCTTCCTCTATTCTGATGTGTTTCACTGGCAGGTGATCTCCTCGTGATGGGGAACATGGCTGTGGGCTTACAGAATTATTTTTCAGTTATGGTCCCATGGGAAGAGAGAGCATCTGTTTCAACAGCTTGGATGAAAGACCAAGGATAGGTCTGGTCTGGGTCACGTGCCCACATGCTGAAGACAGGGGGACTTGGACGGTGGGTAAGGCCAGTCATCTGGAACCATGGGAGTCAGTCAGGATTACTGAGGCCATGCCTGGAGTGGATACCCAAAGGAAGGGACAAGGACAAGCATGGGAAGAAAGGCAAACAAGTCAGCATGGTACAGTGTGTTTCATGCTAATGTGGCGGGGAATAGAAGATGCTGGGGAAACCATGGAAAAGGAGCACCAATCCCAGCTTGTGGAGGTGGAAGAATTCCTAGTGAAAGGAAGGAGGATTTTCGTCAGCATTACCCTAGTAGCATACCTGTGATGATGTCCATTTCTGCAAAGATTTACATAGGCTTCCACAAGTTGAACTTATGTCCTATGGGCATGTGGCAGAACTTTCATTGTGCCGAGTAAAGAACTTTCTGCGATGATGGAAATGTTCTGTATCTGTAGTGTCTAATGTGGTAGCCACCGACCCCTTGTGGCTATGGAGCTCTTGAAATGTGTCTAGTGAGACTGAGGAACTAAAATTGGAATTTTATTTACCTTTAATTAATTTAAATTTAAAATTAAATAGCCGCAGGGGGCTAATATCTACTATGATGAACTGTGTAATTCTGTAGGGAAAGACTTTTCTGTAGCTTGATGCTCAGTCTTCCAAGGTCCTACTGGTCTTCTCTTTTAGTGCCTGCATTGCAAAAGGCCTCACTGAACAGAGAACTTCAGATAGGCCCTTCCAAATAGCAACAACTACCACCAATAATAAAATGCTATTAAAGGGCCTTTGGGCTCTGCAGGATTGGTTACTCAGGGTTTACCGAAGCTCTGCTAATTTCAGCGTCACCGTTGGGAGCCTTTGGGGGTCCTGTGAATATTAACATTCATACTCATGATAGTGATAATGGCCCCTGTTTATGGCGTGCTCTGCTGGGTGCTTGTATAAACAGTATCTGATTAAATCCTCACAATGATTCTATGAGCTGCAGCTACTATAATCCTCATTTTACAAATGAGGAAACTGAGGCCTAGGGATCAACTGATGACCTCAAGTCATACCAACAGGGTAAAAGGGAGTTGGTGATGGTGTTAATTCTTCAGCCACCTTTCTTCCTTTGTTCTTGTGATGCATCTCACCCTATAAAATATAAATGCTGGCCTGCAACCCCGAGCCATCAGGCTTGCAATCCCTGTCTTTTTTGCTAGGAGGACAGACACATTTGTTTTGTCCATCACTCTGTTACCAGCACCAAGGATAGCACACTGTAGGTGCTCACTGTGCATTGTTAAATGGATATATCACTCAGTGGCTCAAAGTCCACCAGACCTGGTGTCCCCCATCGCACTGGTGGAAGCAGCCTTCACGCCTCAGAAACAATAGAGCTACTGCCTCTGAGAAGCTGGGCACTGGCTTCAGTCCAGCTGGTCTAAGTTGACCAAGCAGGGAACTGACATAAATACAGTATAGAGCCATGGTCCCTTTCCTTTCCCCATCGCTCCCCCTTCTCCGAGTCCTTCTAAGCCCCCACCCTTTCTATCCCGATATCCACCAAGTCCTGGACACCGGATTCCCCTTCCATTCACTGTTTACCTCGTGCTGTCATGAGGCACCTCATTATGGTTAGTAGAGTTTTCCAGGCTCATCCTCTCCCAGGAGGCAGAGTCCTACCTGCACAGTGAGCCTTTCACCTGGGAGCCTCGCCCGGTTCCTGATGTTTCAATCCTGTGTGGGTCCCAGTTTCTTCCTGGATAGGGCCACCAGAGCCGATCCATCCTTCCTGTCCTGGCCAATCCTTACCTTCATCCAAAATGGTATGGCTGGCTGACAGTTACCTATATTTAACAGTCCTTAACGACAGGGAGAGGAAACTGTCTGTACCTCATAGACAGATCCATATCTAATAAAACACAGGACACTAATTAAATTTATGCATGATGGTAAGAGGCTCGGCCACTTTTCCAACATCCGACTCTTGCCAGTCCAGAGCCACATCTTGGGGAACATGTTCTAGGAGAAGCCTTGATGATCACAAAGGGAGTGGGTTTTCTTAATCTTCTGTCAGGATTTCTGTGCCATACAAAGGTGAAAGCTGGTACACAGTACAGCCACGAGGAGGCAGA